TCGAGAGTATATAAAAAAAAACAGATTTTTAAGCTTTTTTTACATTTCTTCTTTAAATTTTCTTAAATTCCTTTTTTTATAATTTTAATTTTTTTTTTATTTGAGCTTTCAATTTAAAAACTTTTTTGCTTTTAAAATGTTTTTATTTAAAATTTTTAAAATTATATTTTTAATTCTAATTTAAAAAAATGTTTTTTTTGTTTAATTTTAATTAAAAAAAGTTTTTTTAATTTGTTTTCTTAATATTTCCATCTATATTGTAATTATTTAAAGAACATAGTATGAAAATTGGTCGGTAATATTCAAAAATTTTTGTCATTATATTTGCTGCAATAAATGTACAATCTTTATATCCTTGAATATGGACCCAGTGAGAAATGACAATCGATATCGAATCGAAGTTGATTTGATGATTTCGAATTGACATCGATTTGATTCTATTATCATTTCTTACTGGGGATATATTTATTATAGCACATCACATTTATTACAATGGAACTTTATCCCGTTTTTATATATTTATATTCCTTTTATCTCCGTTTTGATTCGCCCAGTCTTTGGGACAATGCTCGCTTTACCCTTTCTCTGGATTACTTTTGCCACTCTTTTCGTTTACCAATTTCTCTCAAAAAATCTGTAATTGAAATGATTTAATAATTGCACTTAACATAGTTATTTAATAAAAAATATAACCATCATTAAATTATGTACTAACCTATTTTTCACAGCATTTTTTGCAACATAATATAAGCAGAATACATCTGATATTTCATGATATTTCCTTGTTGTGACGTGATGATTGCCCACTAAACGTACAATACAATTCAGCAAAACTTCTTTTTTAAAAGCTCCTAATAATTTTCGAGCAACGTGAGTAAGTCTATGTGAGCTTTCTATTACATAATCATAAATTCTATTTCTGCAATAAATTCTATCTCATAGATGTATCATCTGAAAAAATATGCGTATGCGCACGCGCGCGCACATATAGTTCTGTCTGTAGATGTTCTTTGTCAGAGATGGTGAAAGCTCTATGTATAAATGAATTGATTGCAGACTGTTTTTGTGTTGAGTGGTGGTGCGACTTGGCATGTAGATATTTATCTGTGTGTGTTGGTTTTCTGTACACTTGATGGCCTAAGGTACCATCAGCTTTCTTAGAAACAAGAACAGGAAGAGGAGTTTTCCTCTGTATCTATAATGAAGCGGATATTTAGATGTTGATTGTTGAGGAAAATGAGGAATTTACGGAGGAATTTACGAAGGAATTTTCGGCTTTCCATATCACGATGTGTTGTCTACATAACGGAACCAAACTTCTGGTTTTTCTGAAGGTCTCTTTCTCAAAATGCTCCATGAAGATAGGCGAAACAGAAGAAATAGGAGAGCCCATTGCCGCTCCTGAAGTTTGTTCATAAAATTGATTGTTATAGGAGAAGTAAGTAGTTGTTAAACAGTGCTCTATTAGCGGGATGAGGTCGGAGGGAACTTCACGTGACACTTTATTATGTTTAATGTGTCTTTTATTGGCTTGTGTAAAAAGGGATTCTACGTCGAAACTTACAAGCAGGTCTGTGGGTCATAGTCAGATTTTTTGGATCTTTTGTATGAAGTCTGTTGAGCTGGTTATGTGTGATTCAGATTTTTCAGTGAGGGATTGTAATGTTTATGCTAAGAAGCGGGATATGTCGGGGAGTGTATGACGCTGATAATCAGTCTGAGGGGGATATTTGGTTTGTGTATTTTTGGTAGTATAGTTGGTAGGAGAAGATTTGTAGGTTTTAATGTTGATTTGGTTTTATTGGGAATATTGCTTTTCTCCACTAGGTGTTCTGTACGATTGTATTAGTTGGATCTTTGTCAAGTTTGTTTTTGTATGCTTTGTCCGACAGAAAGTTTTTCATCTCTTTCTTATAGTTTGATGTGTTTCATGACTACTGTCGTGTTACCTTTGTCGGTTGAAAGCACGATGATGTCTGTGTCCCTGTTCAAGTCTTGGAGGGCCAACCGTTCTTGTCTAGTGATGTTTGGTGGAGGAGATTTGGCTTTGGAAAGGATATTATGTTATGTTTGGTATGTTTGTTCTCATTATCTTTTGCAATATCTTCTTTATCGATGAGATATGAATCACGTATAATATTGCTCTCATCGTTTTCATTATTTGTGTTACCTTTTTTTATCATTCAAAGTTTCTTTACTTTTAGATACCTGAGAATCCTTTACTGCATTGATAGATAAAGCATTTGAATTGTTTTGATAAAGCTTTTGATTTTTCGATTAATTTATAGTATCTTGATGCAACTTCTTTTTTAATTCCGCTTCGGTAAATCTATTAATATTGTCGAAATTATTAGAATCTTCCTTGATATGAGCTTTTGTATTAATATTGTAGAAGCATTAATCATCTAGAAATTAATATCATAAATAGTGCTTGGTAATGCATTTATATTTACAAGCATATTTATATTTACATTTTCTTTATGGTTTTCATTATCATGGGATGCATTCGAAGACTCAGTATCACTTGAATCAGTATAAATTTCATCAATTTTTTTTTGATGCTATAATCTGCAAAATAATTATATTATAATACTATTAATTCTTAAAGACTATCATGAATTTCATCCTATTGAAAACATTATTCCAAAGTTGTCTACATCGACACTAAGGCAAAATAAATGCTGGATTTATTCGAGAAAAGAAGATAAGAAGTATAAGATAAAATGCACAATATTAACTGTATTTGCAGTAATCATCGAAATGTTGTAATCACTGCAAAGAATAATTTTTCTACTTTCTATCTAATATTTAGTAATAAAATATTTAATTGTACTTGTTAACTTTTTTGTTTCTAAAATAAAAAATATATATACTGAGATGACATTTCCCTTAATAACATTATATATGATCTACAATAAAAAGTCGTAGCGGTTGTAGAATCTTAAGTCATAGAAAATTGATCAGTTATAGTCGATTATTCTTCTCATATTTGATTATGATTGGCGATATCATTTTTTTATGACTATTATAGACCTCGTATTAATGTGGTTGTTTGTAATGATAGCTTTTAACGTTAATAAAGTTTTTGTATAAATTGTCACACTATATAGAAAATCACAGTGCTTGATTCAGATGCCACATATTATTTACACTTAACGTGTATCAAGCTTGATTATGGCGGCGTATTAATTTATTAACTACTTACTACTACTTTTTATCATTACAAAACGGCATATAATATGTAATATGAAATGTAAAAATGCAATATAACTCACTGTCTGTTTACAGTGCGTCTTATATACATATTATGGTATATAATTATGCAGTATAGGGGCACTTTCCGATGACCTTGACATATGTAGTCAAGTTATAACCCCCAAGTGACTTTTAAAAGATTTTAATCCACGGTCGTCTTTCGTTAAAAAGTTGTTAAACAAAAAAAATTTTTTAAATAACGTATTATTTCTGCTATACATATAATATAATATATTACATTAAATACTATTCTACATTTTGACTTTCAACGTGGATTTGCACATTTCAACTTTCATGTTGTGCAACAACACAATTATGAAAGTCGTACGCCCCTCAAGCAGAGGTGAGAGGAGGTGAGAGTGTCGCTTTGCATGAAAGTTGTGCGCTCCTTATACAATAATTAGCAACTTTGATTGTATAATAACTTTTTGATGAAGGACGACTGCGGGCTAAAATCTTTTGAAGGTCACTCCGGGACATGACCTTAACCACATATGTCAAGGTCAAGGTCATCGAAAAGTGCTCCCCTATACTGCACAATTATCCATATTATTATAGTATTATACTTGAAAGTAACATTAATAATTCTACATTTAACTATTTATATTGTGTGTTCCGATATTCACTACAATACTGCAAATCTATAATATATGTTGCGTATAATATATGGGTGCATTCCGAGTTACGCATGAAGCGCGTAGAAAGTCATTCCGATTTAACTAATGCACAATAGAAGTGCTTTGGTAGTGAGAATTCCCTAGGTTGTACCATCCATATTGTATTCTTAACACTCCTCTTAGCGCATTGACTGTTTCTATTTCGATTTGAGGCAGTTGATGTGTCTGATGCATTCATGCGGTCTATGCGCATGATTTGTAATTCGGAACGAGTAACGGACCAGTAACGGACAACATAACAGTGAACGGACGAATATTTGCGATTTGCAATGGAACAGTGATTACAGCAATTACATGAATTCCCGATCGCGTTAGAGAATAAAAATGAAATATTAACTTTATTTTTAAATGAAGAGGATATTGACGAAAGCAAGCCAAGGTAAAATTAATGCTAATTATTTTATCTTGATTTATTTAATGTATATGTTAGACTTTATATTAATTTTGTGTCGTATTTTTTATAGACTCTACGTTTTTGCTAAATCTTATTGCAAAGGAACAAAATAAAAACAGTAATAACGAGCCAGTAAAAAAACCTATTACAATATAAAAAACCTATTGATTTAATACATGATGAAAATGCTGTTGATCCAAACAATGCTGGTAAGATGCACACTTAATTTTTGTATAAATATTCATACGTTTAAATTCTTTAATTTTATATAAAAGTTTAAGAATATACAAAAACTAATATTTATTGATCTCCAAAATTTGTGTTTGCTTAATTTTCAGATCAATCAAAAACATTTGTATGGCCGGACAAATAGTATTATTATTGTCGAATTATATAGAGAAAGAGAGGAAGAATTTTCAAATGGTTTTAAGCACAGCAACAAAATTTGGGCTGAAATTGCAGCTCAAATAAAGGAAATTAACTCAGCTTATAACGTAAGCACTTCAATGTGTATCCAAAATATCCGACTTGAAGCGGATATACAAAAATATTATTGATTTGAATAAGAAAAGTGGCAATCATAAAAATATGGGCATTTTTTCGGTATGTTTTATCATACACATACACACACGTATACATGAACACACATATATATGTATATAAATGTTGCGATATTCAGTTATGCAACAAGAGAGAGAATCCTGTTAGCGCACATATTGAGAGCATAAATTCACTTACATTAGTCAGTGCTTAATAATTTTTCACTATATCAATGAAAATATTTTATTTTAAATTCAATTAGCGATGTGTACTATCGGAGAACCCTCTCCGATAGTGATTATAGATTAATAGATAATAAGATATATTTATATATTACAATATTTAATTATGTATTAGGTCATGGATTCATTATTTGGCGACAAAGCGTCCATCAAACCTCCTGCAATTGCTACAAATGAAGGTCTATCAGACCCAAATGAGGAAGGATCATTATTATCAACTATTTCATCCCTTCAATCGAAAGGTAAGTTTTTGTATTTATATATTAATGGATTACAACAATTCTAAATAATATATAGTTGTGATCTTATGTAATTTTATAAAATCCCTAACGAAATTAAAAAGCGTAAGTCGAATGTAAAGCGAGAATAACAAAAACGTTAACAAAGCTTCTAGGAAGTAAAAATTGGAACAACGAAATAGAAAAAAACTTAAACGCCTCTTACATTTTGTTCTAATTTTTGTTACCTAGTTTTGTTTATGCTTTGTTACTTTCCTTTTACATTCCACTTATGCTTCGATTTTTATTTTCGCTAGATATGCTGTCATTATGGCTATGAAATGATTTAAAAACGAGTTTGTTTTATAGGTATACTACATTTAAACGCTCAACTTATATTGAAGTTATAACATCTGATGTTATAACTTTGACATAAATCGGGCCGTGAATGTAGTTATAGTATACATTTGTAACTTAAGTACAAAATGTGCAAGATGAAAGGAATTTAATTCGGTTCTTATGTATCAACATAATAATTGTTTTCGTATTATTCATTACAGAGCCTCCAAAAAAGAGAAGACGCATTGAAAACATTATGGAAGAGTTCTTAGCCAATATTATGACAAAAAAAGAAGAAAGAAAAAAAGATATTAAAAAACGGGAAGCAAATAAAGAAAAGAGGCGCGAAGAAAACAAGAAAGAAAACAAGGAACAAATGAAAATGCAGAAGTCATTAATATCATAAGGAACAAATGGAAGTGTAATATCAACATTACAACAATTTCTTAACAAAATATAAGTTAAATTTAAAGTTGAGCATTACTAATTGAACCCTTGAAAGTTTTTTGTTTTATATATTTTATAATTTATTTTATCTTAATTACGAGTTTTAAGATGTTAAACTTCAAAGTTATGTATTAGGTGTTGGAATTAATTCGTAGCGTTTTTTAATGAAAGAATGTTATTTATTTCACATGAGCATTAAAAAATACATTAATGAAAGTACTTCCCATCACTTGTAAAACGCTACGAATTAATTCCAACACCTAATAACTTTATATTATTTTATTTATGAATAATATGTTATTCCGCTTATAAATAATAATAAAACTCATTCATCAATTTATTTAAAAAGAAATGTTTATTTTTTTGAAACGTGAAAATATATTTTTTAAATGTGGAAGAAGTACAAATGTATAATAATACAATAGATCTATTCGCATTGCTAGTATTTTTGCACTCACAATCTTTGCTTCCTCTCGCTTCAACTCTTGATTAAAAATTTATCTCTTGTTAAGTTTGCCAAAAATTTTAAGAATTTCAAGCAACACGAATAAACCTACTATAAGATTGAAATACAATGTAAGAATATGAATAAACCTAAAAATTAAACTGTAATTAATATCTGTTTATTAATTAAAAATATTTCAATAATTTTTTTGGTTTTAAAAAAAATGTTTTTAAAATGTTCATTATTGATCATTATATTATATCGATTAGTGTTCATTCATCAGTTATTGAGCTTCATTTGCAATGCATTCATTATTTTTAATATTTCCCGTATTATCAGTATTATCACTACAAACAGGTGCCTATAATTCTTCATGATGTCGGACGCCAACAGTCATTACATCATTTTGTAAGATGCAAATATTGTGTAACGCTATTATGAACTCTGGAATTTTTTTGACATCCGTCAAAGGTAGACAATCTAAAAGTATCCTAAAACGTATTTTTAATTGTCCAATTGCACGTTCAATTTCCTTATCAACGATAAACAATAATTAAAATTTTTTTGTCGGTTTGACAAATGGCCATTGTCTCGAAACGGGACCAAGAGGATGAATTGCATACGCAGCATATTCGATAATATGAGAATTATTAAAAAAATATACATTAAGCATTTCTAGAAAACATTCTACTGGGGAGTTTCGAAAAATTCAAGCATCGTGAACTGATCCTATTTCTCCTGTATAGCAGTGCGTAAAGAGACCACGTGAATCTACTAATTGGGCATTTAAGGATGGAAAATCTTTTCGGTTTATATAAGAAACTAAATCAATTGGCAGAGCTCGGATTTTAATATGTGTTTCATCTATGGCACCGACGATATTTGGAAAATCAACATTTGGAAAATCACAAGTCTTTTCGAAACATTCCATGACATTGAAAGCAACATCTTCTTTAGGCCACTGTATAAATCAAGGTGCAATATAATGAAGTGTATAAGTAACACGTCTTACAGCCCTAAAAGCAATTGCTCTGCCAACTCCGAATTTGATACAAACTAATCTGTAACAATCCAGAAAAGTAAGTATATGGATTATTATATTCTATTAGGTGTACAAATAAGTTTCCGCCGTTTGACAAAAGACGCCACTAGCAAGCTATGATTAAAATTGTCTGATGTTAAACATTATATCATAAGGTTGGACATCTGTCAACAACATACCTTGAAGTACTAGCGATTTTGTATCAGCATCATATATTTTTTTTGTGCGAAAATGCCGAGTTTTGAGCCGAATAAGCGTCATTTGCGGGAACTTTTGATTTACTTCTTTAATTTGAAGAAATCTGCAGCTGAGGCTCATCGATTGCTTGTAGAAGCATATGGTGAGGCTGCCTTAAGTGAGAGAAGTTGTCGTGAATGGTTTCAAAAATTTAAGAACGGTGAATTTGACATCGAAGACAAAGAACGTAGAGAGTAAAGAAGGCCGAAAGTGTACGAAGACGCAGAATTGGAAGCATTATTGAATGAAGATTCGTGCCAAACGCAAAAAGAACTTGCACTTATATTTTGACTTACATCAATAAAACATTATGTATCGTTCTTTCACAATAAATGCTTAATTTTTGATAAAAAACGGCGGAAACTTATTTGTACACCTAATAAAAAAAAATAATGACTAATTATAGCATAGAAAATGGAATCAGTATTTTACCGAAAGCTAGACCCATCTGTTTTAGACCTTAGAT